GAAACAATAATTTTTTTTCTAGATTTGAATCCATTTTGAAGGACTGGTATCTTCAACTTATTTTGCAAATTATTCGGTGTCTACAATCTGTTATTGACATACTGGGTTCTAGAGCACGGTTCACTCATCCAATTAACGGTAATATTTTGTTGAACAGTCTTTCAGCACTAGTCAACATTGAACTACAGAAAAGTAGCAACTTCCAAAAGGGTTGATAGGTAAGTTTACATGATTTATCATTAGTACTTTTGTAATCACCCAATAAAATGTGATCACAACTAACTGAATGAAAAAATTTAGTGAAAAAACTCTTTTCCCTATTCTAATCGAGGAGTAGTCCTACTATTCCGCAATGTTGAACATTCAGAAACCAGTTCCGCCACGGAATCAATTTCTTCAATTCTGGAATCATACAAAATTCCTAGGAATTAGAACTTCTACTACTGTTTTATCTTCTCTTCCCATCCAGTGATGAACCTTGATGGTGTGTAGGTGCTCGTGCAAATGTGAATGTGGGTGGGGGTGTCGATGTAGACCGGGCCACGCTCATTCTCTACCGGAGGTCCAGCCAAGCTGCGTTTTTTCAGGCCTAGTCGGCCTATGACAGACTTCTGAATTCCAAGTCTGCCTGTACTGGCCTACCTGCTTGGAAAGGCCCGTCTAACTTTCTTTTATGCGAATACCATTACCACGAGTGTAGCAAGCAAACAAAAATTACGGGAGGGGGTAACTGATAAAATTCTATTTTCCAAAAACTTTTGGGGGACTAGCTGACGTTGCCAGATCTTCCTGATTTGAAAGTTTTTCAAGATTTTCTTCTAGGTTATTCTGAATTTTATTTTACATTTCTTCAGGATTATTTCGAGTTTTCACGGAGGGTTCTCGCCTTTTTAGATTTTTCAGAGTTTTTCGGAGTGTTACAGGATTCTGAAATTTAATTCGGGATTTTCGAGTTTGACATCTGACTACACTTAGAGTAACTTATAAAATCGTCCTTAACATAGTATATGTTTAATTTTGTGCAATACAATGCAAGACAATTTTTCGAATAGTCGGGAGTGGGAGCACAAGTGCACATCTTGATCATTACAATGATAGAATAGAAACATGTGGTTTGTTTTATTTTTGAACGGATGTGCGAGTGAGGACCAGCGTGACTTTAAAGTGAGAATAAGTGTCGCGTAGAAGTGCTTTATTCACTTTTTTCTGATAAATTCAAAAAACAGAAAATAGCCCCCACCCTCCTCAAAATAAAAGACCCCGGGTCTTCTATTATGTTCCAGCGTAAAAATTTCCCAGGGGTTTTCTACTAAGAACCGTGTTTATTCCTAATATTTAATTTAAAAGATTTTTCAGAAAACTAAAGCGATTTTTAGGGTTTTGAAGGTGTCATTATAATGGTGAACATACTCTCTTCATATTTCCAGCTTAAAATGCTAAGAATCAGGCATGCTCTGATGGAAAAACAGTAATTAAAGTTCGTAATTAGCAAAAAATTAATTAATTAAACGAAGCCTTCTATTACGTCGGGCAAACCTTTTCTCCAGAGGGATCTTCTAATATGGGGAGGTCTTCTATAACGGGAGAGGGTTTACTATGTTATGTATTTACTAGTAAAAGAAATATACAATAGGATTACTATTATTGTATATGGATTCGGTTGTGGGTATGTGTATCACATAGTCCATGGAGTGCAATAATTGCTATCTTGAGGGTGTGGGTGTGAATGTGGGTGTTTGTACGCACTCGAGATAAAATCCGTTTCCCCGGGAACCCTGGAAAATACGTTTCCGAGTGGTCGAAAACCCAAATAAGTTGCCAAGCTGATTCCGAAAACTAGAATACGTTTTCCGACTAATCTCGGATATTTTTGAAAGTTTCTTGGAAGAAAAAAATAAGTTTCCGGGGTTCCCGAGGAAACGAATTGTATTTAGACTGCACACCCACCCTTTTATGTGAAATCACAGAATCCATTTTCATACAGTTTGCACCGTATTATACACCATGTCACTCTTAGCATGCTGATCAAAATGGATAGTTCTACCATATCATAACTGTATTGATTTATTTTTAAAACTGAAAAAATGTTGAAAAGTGAAAATCTACAGTAAAATCATAGTCATTCAGAAAGTGGCCACTTTGTTAAGGAAACGAAGTCAAACTACAAAATCCCATACTCCCTTGGGTGAATACTTGATTGTGAAGTGAATTTGAGCTAGTGTAGTTCATTTTTAAAGTTCTAAAACTTAGTATTGACTATCTTTTCAAGATTGTGGGTAGTAGTTAGATGCTTTCGATATCGGGTTTCGTCGTAGAGCAGTCATCAAGAAAATAGGAAAAACGTTTTAAACACGTTTTGAGAATAATAGAAATAACCCATTATGATTGACAAATTATTCAATCGCACATGTCTGTAAATGTCGAAGTCGATCTTCTCACAGTTCACAATTTTATTACATGATGTCAGGTGAGGACACAGCCAAATTCTAGTTTTTCTTTGTCCGGATTCATTGCATAAGTTTAACCGATGCGAAAGTTTATTCTCTACTGAATGGTACCATTTTTTATGGGTCTGATGAGACAGAGCGTTTGCTTTGGGTCCATATCTGGGCGTAGCTAAAAATATTGATGACATTGAGCAAGTGCGACGGGTAATACTGTCAGTATCTAATGTAATACACCACGACACAAAATGGAATAGAAACCAGTGCTATGGATAAAGGGTCGACGTACATGCTCATCCACACTCACACCTCAACCCTAAAGAAAACTTCGATTAAAGCATTCTTGCAGTTGCAATAAACATTGAAAAAAGTTCTCTTAGAACAATAATATAATAATCTGTGTTTGATTGAAAAGGGCATTTATTCACGAATTTATGATATAATACATAAAAATATGTGACTGTTAATTTTACACATAGAATAATGATATATGAAAGTTATCCGAGCCAACCATTAGTAGAAAATGTGGGCACGTAAATTATTAGTATCATTCATGGATGAATGTAGCAATATTGTTTATGTGTTACAAGAGATATATTCTTGTCAATCGTTTTTGAAAAAATTTGCCATAATTCACTTAACTCTGATGCTTTCACGTCTGAACAAAATAATTACATCATCATCTATAATTCATTTTTGAAGTTCTGGTTCATACAAAAGCTTGTTACTCATAATATCGCTGGTTTCAGAAAAACTATTGAAATAAATCATATGTCTATGACGCCGCGTATGGTTCTTTATTTGACGAGGAAATTAGAGATTCGAAATGTATTACGTATCTTTGAATTATGAAAACACTTTCCGAGCTTTACGGAGTTGGTGTCGGAATCCTGAAAACTTTCTTGTTGGAGTTGCGATTATAGTCAAGCCGGGTTTCGGAATGAAAGAGTATGTGTATGTGGGTCCCTACCTTGTTCATGTATAAGCAGATTTTTGCGTTTTCCTATTCGGTTGTTGATCATTATATCGGGAATTTTTACATTTATGTGGCTGGTTTCATTTTGCGTTAGGTGATAGGCAAATTTAGTGTCTACAGAGGAGATTATTTTCATACTGTGTGTTATTCTGTCACTAATTATCACACTTCGAATGAAACATTTGTACATTAGCAGAAACTTACGACAGACACATGTTAAATTTTCCTTTTCGGAGACGGCATATCAAGAGGGAAAATGGATCCTGGTAGCTCTTTATGTAATTGTAATGTATTTAACATGTAAGTCAACATGTTTAAATAGATATTTAACTTATCATAAACTAGATATGCTCTACGGTCATGTTAAGATGAAACACAACATTGCTATTATTTTATAATAAAGCACACAGCTCAATGAGTCGGATGAATTGACTGATTTTCATCAGTTCACCAACTATTTATCGCGAGTTGGAACTAGTGTCAAACGATTCCATTTTCTATTATGGATACAATCCTATCGCCAATATTTTTGATATTAAACATGGATTTATGAGAGGTTAGCTAGCTACGCATTGGTGAAGAAGATCTGTAATAATTTGAATCTATTGACTTGTAGAACTGCTCGAAATCTATTTTTATATGAGTTAAAACTATTCTCAGTTTAGTGGTATTTTCAGAATTTGAAGGCTCATAGTATACAACGCTTTCGTTCGAAACAGAGAATGTACTAGTACTTTTTAGCATTTTGTGGAAATTAAGACGTAAGTAAAGTAATCATCAAATACAAGTATTTTTAGGTAAAATTCTTGCATTTAGTTGCGTTGAATGTCTAAGTCGTTATGAGTTAGGTTCAAAATTGTATTCTCTATTCTTTTATACCATTTCGATAGAGGCCACCATTGAAAAGTTTGCATCGGGTCCTCGGTTAAATAATCGGGAAGGAATATCTGATATTGTTTCTAATACATTTCTGAATCATTTGAAACTAGGAAAAGCACGTTATTCTTCTCAATCAGAATATAAAAGATATTCAGTGATACTCATGAATATTTGCAACGCAAATTTTTCTCATGATTACAGCAATCGAAAATGGCACACATCAATAGGGAATTCAGTCCTACACCGAACGCAGGCTATTAGAGATTCAACATAGAAACATAAACGAGTCTGGATTGTAAAGACTTGAATGCGATGCTAACTTAGCCTACATTGAAAATGACTCGTATATTTTTACGTCGAGCACAATTAGAATAATAAGGTTCACAGTTCAAACTGATTTTGAGTCTTGATCATGAGGATCAATGATTTTAAGTAAAAGAATCATGTGTCAGCTGAGGAACGAAGTTTTCTGATTGGTAAATTACCAATCAAGAAAGATTGTGATACAAAATACTCTGTGAAGCAGTTCATAATAGGATGAAACTTTTGTGTTGCTATATACTGTCCCGTTTCCTTTCTCTAATAAATGGTGTTCCAATTTTTCTATTTTTTCATTGATGATTATTCGGATTTGTTTTTATAGTCCTGTCAGCCTCCATATACAATTACTATGGACCCGACAACTGTTTTAAATATCATCTATGGAACCGCAGTACTCATTAAAAAAAACTGTTGAAGATGTCAAAGCTAATCAGCAACAATGTAAACGACTTGGAGAAAGAATTGATGCAATCAATCAATGCTTAACATCATTAAATGACCGAGACCTCAACAGATCCGAGATTAAACAATCACTAGATAACTTTCGTAAATGTGTTCAAGAATGTTTAGATTTTATAACCCAATTCAAAGAGAAATCATCATGGTTCGCTAGAGTGTTTCAAAACCAAAATCATGAAGAAAAATTTCAAGAATTGAATCTTCAACTCTCTCAATGTGCCAATGATCTTAGTTTAGGTATCAATTTGAAACAATTGGTTGATGTTAAAATAGATGAAAATGATCAAAAAACAGATCTAGATACCATAGAATCCAAAATTGATGATATTGCACAACTGATGGAACAAATGAAAGAGAAACAATACAATTACTACAAAGGCATTGAAGAAAATACCAAACAGCGGCTTAGCTCACTTAAGTATAATCTCCAGCAGGATATTATGAAAATTAAAGATCCTGCCAAAGCAAAAGAAATCGCTGAAGAAGAACATGCTTTCCTCCATATTCCCTTTCATGATTTGATACAAGAGAAACGAATAGGACAAGGTGGTTTCGCTGACGTATATCGTGGAAGATGGCTCTCACGAGATCATGAAGTAGCCATTAAAGTTATCCGAATTCAATTTTTAGATGACAGAATCAAAGGAGATCTTGTTAACGAAATTTCGACGATGCATAAAATACGTTACGATCACATTCTCAACGTATTTGGAGCCTGCATGGAACCCAACAACTATGCACTTATCGTTGAATATATGTCTCTTGGTTCTCTTTACGATATTCTAAAGCAAAAACGGTTTCAATTGACATGGTCTGATCGATGTTCGATTGCCAATCAGATGACTAAAGGCATCAATTATTTGCATAAACTTCCTAGACCAATTCTTCACCGTGACATCAAGTCATTGAACATCCTTATGACCGAGCATGGAAAAGGCTTTCTCGTCAAAGTTGCTGATTTCGGTCTGGCTAAAATACGTCACGAAACATCACGACAATCTTCTAGGGGTCCTTCGGTCGGCACTTTGCCGTGGAAAGCTCCTGAATTACTGAAAATGGGGAGACATACGGAAGCCAGCGATGTATACGCTCTTGGTGTCGTGTTTTGGGAGTTATGCACAGAATGCGAACCATATGAAGAAGCCGATGATTCAACAATTAGTGCATTCGTCATGCGTGGAGACCGATTAGACATCCCTACAAATATTCCCAAGCGATTTGCTGATCTAATTTCGAGCGCTTGGGCACATGAACCACAAAAGAGACTGAATTGTCAACAGCTACTCAATTTAATAAAACCTATTTCGAGTGAAATCGATGAAAATAAAATATCACAGGTAGAAAATCATTCTTTTCAATTCTTGCTTGCACTTTTGTTTTGTTTTAAAAATGATATAAATAACTAAGTGTTTGAGTCATTAGTAACGTTGAATTAGATCGGCAGATTCTGTACTATGCTTGAAAGAAACTATTAAAAATAATCGTAATCTCTTTCCAGACAAATGTTCCTCCTGTCCTGAAGAAGAATGTGGCAAACTCAGATGAAACTGTTTCTCCACAACAACGTTCACGAAGGTACTTTTTATCAATATCTTCTGCTAATGATTTCATTTTTGTTTACTGAGTTTAGCCCCGAAAGGCCAAAAAAACGACAATATGAAATAGGTAAGTTTCTGAATTGTCATTTTCTTACTGAAAATTTATAGGCTCGTAAAGAATGAGAGTATAACCAATGATAGAATATTTTATTTTCTGATCGGGATTATTTTGGATGAAGCTGTAGCTACTAGCTAGATGCTGCTTGTGAAGTTCATACTTCTTGATATACCCGAACTAATATTATTACTTCAATGATTTATTTTTAAATAGATTTTGCTCTCAGTTGCATCCATACATATAGGAGTAGTGGCTTGTCCAGTTCAATAGAAGCGTCTCCATGAATAACTTCTAACCATAAAGATATTTGCTCATTTAATAAAACGAGTTTTTCATCATAACTATCGATATAAATTCTGCTTCATTGAATAAATAATATTTTAAATTCATGAAAACGACGAAGGCTGTGTATTGTAGTAAGATACTTAAAATTTCAAGTAGGGATACCGCAATTGGACTAGATATCCATTACTAGGGAATATCTAACAAACTCATATAAATTTGATTCAATCATCACAAGCTTATGACAATAGGTTACATCACTTAAAAAATATACTATCATCAATAATACATATAAGTGTTACAATATCGAAAACACCAATTATTTTAGCATCATTCCTCGTGCAATCCATTAGAAAAACATATTCAGTACTACAAAGATTTTCTGTGTATTAACTACAGTCTATTGAGATAGAATCATAAATAAACCTGTTAGAGGGTCATCTATTCAAAAATCTCAATGTCACATGATTGTCACTGCTCTATCCTTCACAGTAGCTTTGTTCAATACTTTTAGGATAAAAATATCTAGCAGGTAGGGGTGCACCAATTCCAATTCTTGGCTTTGAATTGGTCGGAATTGGTCTGAAATTGGTATAGAATTGGCTTTAAATGAGTGTAGAATTAACTGAAATTGATGGTACAATTGATTATTCATGACTAGCAAGTGCTTGAATTTGCCCAAAAATAAAATAAAGAAAGTGGGACGTATAAGGCCTTAAATCTGAAAATTGAGATTTTTATCATAAAAGCTGCAACTTGAGTCACAATTAATAACATAGTTGGAATCAGCGCAAAAAGCTGACTTTTTTTAGTGTTCAGGCATGTGATTTTTTTCTATATTACAAAGCATTTTACATGATCCACAGTTAATTACTGCAGTTCAAGTTGCTTTCTGATTAGTTTCATTTTTTGACTGAACCCTGAGGAGTAATCCCGGGTGAATTTTCGGTAGAAAAATGAAGTTACCGAAAGTATTTAAAACACACATTATTCGAGTCAGTTTTTTGCGCTGTTTAATAGGTGGTAATAGAAACTGTCGGACCTCCACTTATAAATCATAGAGGAGCCAATAAATATATCGCAGTGACGTAATTAAGTTTGCATCCTTGTGTATATGACATTAACACATAGTCGCGTACTGAACAGTACGTAATCTTTTTCTCTCTCTCTAGTATATAAGCTCACGATATATTGGGGGAAATAGGGCAGTACTATAAGTCAGAGAGTAGTTAAAATTTGAGTTGTTCGAAGAAATAGTTTATTAGAATGTAAATAGTGTTAGACTTAACTTGTATTGAGAAACATATGCGTCCTATTATTAGCAGCGCAATATTGCTATCTTATTTTATTGTAAGCACATTATTGAATAAATTATTACAAGTTGGTATTGTCCAAAACATTCTTTCATTAATATTCTTAGTTGTGTACTACTTACAAGAGCTTTGCTTAATTATCTCGCGATACACCCACACCCTCGTTCTTTGGACCACTTATTGATTATAGAAAAATAAGACAACTTTAAATTCTCTTTTAACTGCTTCAATGTGTGGCTAGAAGGTTGAGCTTACGTATACCATTTTCAGAATCAGAATTTATACTGTGCTACGTGTTTGCGATTGAATCATTTTTGTATAAATTACATACAATATTTCATGAATTTATTCTATACTCTTTATTTAAATGAGAATTATTCCTCATTCCAATATATTTCTATTCATGATGTCCCATAGGCTTATCGCCCGTCGGGGCCAACCACTTTGTGGATTAGTTTCTTCCATAACCGTCGGTCTTGCGCCTGGTGGAACAGCTCTTGTCCGCTGCTTCCGCACCAGTCTTTAATGTCATCCAACCATTCTCTACATTGTGTTTGATTAGCCTATTATCGTTCATTCTACAGATATGGCCGAATAGTCTTAATTTTCTCTTCTTATAACTACATCTACTATATCATATCTGTCCAGCTGATTCTTAGTACCCTTCGGTAGGGCCCATGTTTCCGAGACGTATAGTAGCACACTGAAGACACACGTTGCTAGGATCCTTAATTTGTTTTTTTATTGGTAGTTTCTTGCCATTCCATATATGTTTCAAGGATGCCATTGTTCCAGTTACTTTTCCTATTCTTCTTTTTTTATCTCTTCTGAACTTTTGTTATCCCACGTTAATAGGCTTCCTAGATATTCGGATTTATCTACATTTTCTATAGTTTTTCCTTCTATGTGTATGGCTTGTTCTGGGGCTATTCTCGTTGTCTCGATTTGTTTCTGTAAGGAACTGCAGTCTTTGTCTATTAGGTCAATGTCATCCGCAAAGCTCAGGTTATTCACTCGTTCGAGATATGCGATGAACAGTAGTGGTGACAAAGGATCACCTTGTCGGGTCCCTACATTTATACTGAATCATTCTCTTTGGTTCTTCCCTAATCATCGTACTGCTGACTGGGCTTTTTTTCGTATATCTTTTGTAGTAGGGTCACCATTTTTTCTTGTATGCCGTATGACCTTAGCATTGCCCATATAACTTTGTGCTTAATTGTGTCGAATGCTTTTTGGAAGTCTATGAAGCAGTTGTTGCTTGAGTCTGTGCAGTAGCACGATTAGCAGCACTTTTCCTGTGTGGTTGATGAGGGAGATCGCGTTCGGTAATTCGCACATTCGCTTAGATCTCCTTTCTTTGGTATTGGTACTAGAATAGATTTTCCCCATTCTTCAAAACTCACCCTGTAGCATTTCTGCTGCAATTCCATCTGATCCTGGACTTTTGTTCTTTTTCAGTGTGCGTATTGCTTCTTCTACTTCGGAGCGCAGGATGTATATTTTGTATTGCTCCATTATAATTATAAGTCAAACTGTAACGGAAAAATATTTAGGTCGCATCAATATTCTTCAAATAACTATCGAGATACAGTAAAGTGAAAAAGTCTTTGCCCTCAGTATTTCAGCTATTTATTAGACAAGAAATGATGAATATAAAAACTAAATATATACAAAGATAAGGCATAGTACAAGGTACAAAAGTATTTCAATTAATAATTAATTCTCTCTCCTTTCATTTCAATCAAGGCTAAGCATCGTGATTTCATCGATTTTACTAAATGATTTAGGATATAGCTTCTCGACACGACGCCTAATGATAGATCAGACATTCTCGATTGGATTTATGTCGGGACTATTTGACGGCCAGTCGATCACTTCCGGTATTTTTGTGCTTCGGATCATTATCTTGCTACAATCGCCATCGTCAATGAAGTTTGCTTTCTAGCATTGTGGATAAGATGATCTTGAAGAATTTGAACATAGAAAGGATCATTCATAATTGTTTTGAATGAATGATAGCCTATCATCTTTATGTTGGATTGCCCAGTGAACACGTGCTTCTTTGTGCTTCTGTGTTAACATTGGTGTTCCATAGGGCAAAGTACTTTTGTAACCCATTCATTTGAGTTGACGTTGCACTGTCCATCTTTGTTATACGAGCAATTGTTGCAGGAGATCGATGCCCGTTATTCCAATAATGTAAAATAGTTGATCGCTTCGTTTTCATTGTACTAAGATTTCGTTGTTGAAACATTTTTTTCCAAAATGAAGAATGTTCTCGAAAAATCTGTCTAGAAATTTCGAGAGATATGCTTTAAAAATGTTGGACAATATACAGGGCAAAGACTTTTGCACTTTTCTGTATATAGAATTGCGTATAGTATCCTGATATAGGATGATGGACAACAAAGTGTAGATCAGTATCAACTATATATTTTAGTTACTGTGTGTATAATATATTAACAACAATTCCACACGATCTTCTTGTAACCTGACTTGTTTAGAAGTGAACTCGACTCTTCGTGACCTGATAGACGTTATTACGCCAGGCTTGTCTGTCAGTGACCATTTCCTTCAGTTCTTGTAAGTTTGTTTCCATGACATCAGTTATGGTGTCAAGCCACCTTATCTTCTGTCGACCTCTTTTTCGGTTGCCTTCGATTTTTCCAAGCATCAGGGTCTTTTCTAGTGAGTCTTGTCTTCGCATTATGTGACCGAAATATTTTAGCTTTAGCTTCATTATTAATGTCTCCAGTGAGAAGTCCGGCTTCACTTCATTTAGTATTGGCCGATTTGTTCTTCTTGCGGTCCATGGTGTTCTTAGTAGTTTCCTCCAGCACCACAATTCAAATGCGTCAATTTTTCTTCTA